GTCCTTAATAAATAAACTGTCACGAAGCGGCCCTTAAAGACGACCCGCGTGCGGCTTCGGAGCCGCAGGTCGCCCACCCCTGGACTAGACAATTGTTTTGTTCATATGAAGACGGATGGAACGAAATTCTGCATATATTTGTAGGCAAAGGATGGGGTCCGGAAGATGAACATTCCATTGTGTGGCACACATTTTGTGGAGTGTGAATTCTGGGAACCGTGGATTGCCTTGTGGGTATGGCCAAGGAATAACAATGGAGGGTGAGAGGCTGCGACTGTTTCTTTTCACGATTGTCTCGTGCAAGGGACTTCTGGGCCCTCTGTTCAAAATGAGCTGGATGCTCGATGCATTTGGCGCGAATGGTCAAATCCACGATGGGAAAACTGCACGGCATACAAGGGGGGTACTGTGGCCAGCACCACACCTGGGCGCCTCTCAGTCTCCGCTATGTCCATGTTTACACCCCACGCCCAGGTACTCATTTAAGGCCAAGTATGGGGGGGAAGCTCAGGAGCAAGTTCAAAGATCACTCTCCGCTGATGTGCACAGCCGGGAATCGAACCCGGCTCCCGCCAGGGTCGTAGTACAGTGGCTAATTACAGAACCGCCTGCAACAGACGTGCACACATTTGTACATACACAGATGAATACGTGCGTACATCCACGCATTCAAATTCTGTCACCTGGTGAGCTACGCAAAGGACTTTTCTTGGCAGGATCATCATGACTAAGTCGAGTATCAATGAGGTGCATCATCCATGGCGATAAGCGCAGCTTCGCTTAAGTCCTTATTTTCTTATGTATTGCAAGTGGAAGGGACTTTGTTTGACTTCTAAAGTGGAAAAAAGCGCATTGGGCACGTTGTGCAGTGTTTGAGTGCAAAAACAAAGACAAAGATCCCCCGTGTAGCCTTAACTGACTGTTGGGACAAGTGCTGTTAGTGAGCACCTATGAAGGCCGGCACAGCACACCACGCCCAGCCACCTTTGTCTCCCCAGTGGCGATGTTTACACATGACACCAGGTACTCATTTGAGGCCGAGTCGACCTAGGGGAGGCACAGGACCGATTCAAATAATCGTCACCGGTGTTGGCCGTGAGCGGGAATCGAACTCTAGTTGCCGTGTTCGTAGCGCTAACCGCTGCACCACCACTCCCCACACGCACCCTGCCCATTGCAACTCGTGGTGCGTGCCAATGCAGGGCCCTTTCAAATTCGGAGAAAGTGAACAAATCTCTAAAATTGGCAGCAGTTCAATCAGTTATCTACCGGTGACATCCTTTTAAACGGTGGTATCCCATTGGGGGTGTACACAAATAGCTCCTGTGTTTGAGCAGACATGCATATTTAAAATTCCTCCTCATGAGTGTACAGTATTTCCTCGTTATTTGCGAGGGATACGTTCCAGAGATACTCGTGAATTGCACATTTCTTGGATAATGATATTGGCCCCCGAAAATGTTTTTTTTTAATTGCCTTGAATAAATACGTAGATAAGCTATCAAATACATGAACATTATCATAATAACTCATCTCTGTATCTTATCACTTTCTCTCTCATCGCTTTATCTCATCACGTTCTCTCTCATCACTTTATCTCTCATCACTTTATCTCATCACTTTATCTCTCATCACTTTATCTCATCACTTTATCTCATCAATTTATCTCTCATCACTTTATCTCATCAATTTATCTCTCATCACTTTATCGTATCACTTTATCTGATCACTTTCTCTCTGTCGATGCAGTCATGTAGAGTACCCAGATGCGATTTACAGACAGCAAGTTCGTGCATAACGGGGGAAGAACACTGTGCACAGGCACTCCTCGGTTTGCGTGCTTTTGTGGTCCGCCATTTTGGAATAACGCGCAGCTTTGAATTTAGACCTTTTATTGACGTACGCGAGGCAATTTTCGTAATAACGTCAACCGCAACGTGACGTTCGCCACCCATAGCCTGGCACCGCGACCCAACGGCGTTGCCAGCAGCAGCCGGTGCGGTGCGATGACGACTCGCGTGCTCCACCAGCGGGCTCTTCCCTTTGTCTCGCGTCTCCCTCCTCGTCTCCATCCATCTCGACACAACTCCGGCGTAGTTACAATACACGGGGGACTAAGTGAAGGAGAGACGTTGCACGGAGCCACTAGAGATTTATTAAATGGGTGCTGAGAGAAATTAGAAAGACAACGGGTTGTGAAGGGATAATTAAGAACACAGGTGGCCTGGGGAGTCTTAACATCCGGAGAGGAAGGGGGGGTGCAGGTGGTGAAGGGATTGTTAATGAGAGGGTACTGTAGCAAGATAAGATTTAAGGACCGAGAAGAAGATATAAAAGAGGAGCGTCGATGGCAATAGGACGATTGATATAGGCTAGGATAATATAGGCGATTATGTCTGCGAGTGTGAGTGAAATCCCCTAACCCCCTCCTTTATCAGTATTTCTTATGGGAAAATTGCTTTTGACATACTCGCGTTTTCCAGGAACGAATCTAACACGTATACGTCAAGGAGTGGTTGTATACACTCCTGTACAATTAGAATATATACATGCTACATTAAATAATATACCAACAGTAATAATAATGTCCAGCCCATTTGTCAATCCAGTGCTGGATAGCGGTTGCTTGACCATTCTTCACCATGCTGCTTCTTGAAGATTGATGAAGGGCAGAGGGGGGGGGGGTTCCATTACCAGTTTGAATGTCACTCATCACCCATGTTGCCCACAGCCAGGGTTGAACTCCGGCTGGTTCAGTCCGTAACGCACGATTTTGGTGAGTGCCTTTTAAAAATACACGGCGATTGTTGTTCATGCCTTGGCCTTGAGTCAAACTCAGGTACTGTAATGTCAGTGAACTTTTCTATTCTCTGATTCACATTGTGCTTGTAGTTTCACAAACGGCAAACAGCACACGTGGACGAATGGAACCAGGGTATACTGTTATCAACTCTATGTGCTCCTAGCTATGTCTGCATGTACGTTGAACTTCTTTCGCGCACCGTATGTAGCCAACCGTGCTCATCAGAGGTGCAGCGGAAGGACCACAAACTAAACACAAAAAGCAGATTGAAAGAAATGAGTTTTCAATCTCGATGATTTAAAAGGGAATAGCTTCCAGTGGATTCCTATTATCAGAAAAAAGTGCATTCCAGATGGCCGCAGAGGGGCAACTGAAACCGCGCGATGCAGTGACCGTATTTGTGATGATCTACGGACAGAGGGAAATACAAAAGCAGGAGAATGCAAAAGGAGAGGGAAGAGAACACACAACGGATGCTTTCTCTCATCGTAAACTCGCCTTGTAGCGTGCCGCACGCTATCCTCAAAGCTAAGAGAACGACTTGGAGGCACAGGAAACCACAGAGAGGCGGGAAGGCAGCAAGCCGGTCAGCTGGTGCCGAATGCGGCCCTCCCCCAAGCTCTGCTGTCCTCTGTTATATGTCGGTGTTACATTGGCCAATTCAGGAGTGTTGACGTGCGGGAGGAAAACCCAACACCCCGACATGAAACCCCCACACGCGTGCGAGGGGGCATCTGTCAAATCGAGTTGGAACCGTCAGGGAGTCTACATTTGGTCTGCCGCATTTTCCTGGCAAGCGGGGGCATGGCACTTCGACGCCCGCAGGAAGGGAGTTTCACAGCATTTGTGTGATCCACCAACGCTGTGTGTCCACGTGTGCATGTGTGTGCTCCCCCCACTCTCTTTGACCAAAACAAAGAGAGTTGGGAGCGGTAGTGCAACAGCTGTCCTTGTTTTGTGTGTGAGAGAGAGAGAGATGAAAGGGGAGAGACCCTAATGGGGTTGCCAATTCCACGATCCCATGGGCTGGGCACCCCCACAGCCCCATGCTTTTGATGAAATATCCACAAAGAAAAATATCCTGCACGGCTATTGGCCTTTACAGCGCACTGATGTCACCTGTGCACGGTTGCCAGCGATGCAATGGGCCAGTCTTTTTGCAACACCTTTTACACGATTCTGCCCTCGCAGCGGGCAGCCGAGATAGACTCTTGCAAATGTGAGAAAAAAACGTAATGGGCTCTCGAAGTCTGCGAAGCCGGGTTCGGGATAGCAATCATGACCAAAACAAAGGTCACGTTCCAATAGTTCGCTCATTCATTCCTCTCTCGGTTTGAACATAGTCATCGTATGTGTGCGCTACCCTGTTAGCCACACGTGTTTTATATGTGCATGTGTAAAAGTGGGGAGTAGTGGCAGAGCAGTTAGCGCGCCGCGCTACGAACCCGGCGACCCGCGTTTGCATCTCGCCCACGACCAACATCAGTGACGGTGAATATCTGAACCGCTTCTGAGCCTCCCCTAGGTGAACTCGGCCTTAAATGAGTACCTGGTGTGGTGCGTAAACATCATCAAAGCAACTGGGCATGATGCCAGCCACCCATCCCCTAGTGTGGCTGTGCCAGCCTTAATAGCTCTTTGCTAACAGCACTTGCACTCATCGGTCTGTGCGGAGTGGTAATGTAGCGGTTAGCGCGCTGCGCTACGAACCCGGTGACCCGAGTTCGATTCCCGCTTACGGCCAACACCAGTGACGATTATTTGAACTGGTCCTTGGCCTCCCCTAGGTCGACTCAGCCTCAATGAGTACCTGGTGCGGTGTGTAAACATCGCCACTGGTGAGACAAAGGCGGCCACACGTGGTATTGGCCACCCACTCCCTCGTGTGCCGTACCGACCTTGTAGGTATAAATGTTGAACTTTTTTTGCACCGTACATAGTTAACCGTGCTAATCGGAGGTGCGGGAGGACAACAAAACGCAGTTCTAACGAAACGAGTTTTCAATCTACATTTAAAAGTTTGTAGCTCCAGTGCCTTCCTCAAAACCGAAGGAAGTGCAGTCCAGACGGCTTCAGAAGCGCATCTGAAAGCGCGCGACGCGGTGGTGACCGTCACTGTTCGATGGCCAGCCAAGCGCCGCTGATGCGAGGCCTTCACAGGTGCTGCTCGCCATGACGGTCTCTGTCTGCGCCGCAGGTGTTTGAGATCCTGACGGCGCTGGGCCTGCTGGAGTGCCGCGACACGCGCACGTGCCGGCTCTCCGGCGGGCAGCGCAAGCGCCTCGCCATCGGCCTGGAGCTCGTCAACAATCCCCCCGTCATGTTCTTCGACGAGCCGACGAGGTGAGGGCCACGCGGTGACGGGAGTCCGAGACACGCGATCTCTCTCTCTCTCTCTCTAGCGTACGGCAGGTACGTGCAAATCTCACGTCCAAGTCCAAGTCTTTTGAGCCACGCGATAGCTTCAAGAGCAGCGCGACCGATACTGCCGAGTCCGCCGGAGAGAGCGGGCGTAGGATGCGGTTGTTCGCAATGTGGTCGATTGTCTGGTTCGGCTGGCCGCAGTCACACCGTGGGTCGTCTTCAATTCTCCGCTTGTGGAGGAGGAGGTGTGCGTAGCGACCTGTTGCCGTTCTGAAACGGTTGATGGAGCACCGAAGTTTTTTTTGCAGATCAACGCCGTGCATAGCAATGGTGGGGTCATCGATGGGGCTTTCATTTGGAATGTCCACGGAACTCCACAGTGTTCGCCAGCGGTCTTCAATTGACCCTGCTTCATCCAATTGGTTTCCGGGGTTTCAAACACGCGATGATGCACTCGCGAAACACGCTACCTGCTTCGTATGCTGTAGCTGGTGACGCGACTGTCAATATACTATAGCTCGTGAGACGTGTGTTAATATACTATCGTGAGACGAGTGTCGATATACCCTCGCTGGTGAGACGATTGTTGAGATACACTACCAGGTGAGATGCCGAGTGATAGAGAGTGTTGTTTATACGCGTGTGCGTATGTGTGTGATGTTGGTGCAGTGGTTTGTCCATTGTCAACTTCAGCAGCCTGGGAGACGGGGAGGCCTGCGGACGGGAGTGGGGTTGCCCACACCACCCACCGCGTGCCGTGCTGGCCATTAATGGAGGCTCGTTAACAGGCCTCACTCCTCCAATCCATGAGGCTAAATGGGGGATGTTTGCCTATGGGTGCGCGTGTGGGGAGCGGTGATGCAGCGGTTAGCACGGTGCCCATCAAAGCCTGCGAGCGTGCGTTCGATACCCGCTCTCGACCGACACTGGCGACGAGTAACGGACTCGGCCCCGGTTGTTTGCTGGGTCGACACGACCTGGTGCGGTGTTTAAACACCATCAGCACTGGGGAGAGACACGTGTCTGGGCGTGCTGCCGGCCCACTCCACGCCGGCGGCCTTCGAGAGCGCCCCGCTATTGGGAACTTCCCCCAACGCTTCGTTGCGAGGTTGCCTATATTTGAGGTGCCCTTTGCCCCCTTTTTTCGTTTGTGTGCAGTGGCCTGGACAGCTCATCGTGCTTCCAGGTGGTGTCCCTCATGAAGACGCTGGCCCTGGGGGGACGCACGGTCATCTGCACGATCCACCAGCCCAGCGCCAAGCTCTTCGAGATGTTTGACAAGGTGAGCGCCGCCACTTGGGAGTGGCGGGGGATGCTTTGCCTTGAGCAGAAGTCCCAAGGTTGAACCGTGACGCTACGCCCCACCGTCTGTGCTCTCCTGCCTTTACCAAGTCGCACTGACCAACGTGGCAAGGCGTGGGGGAGGCCCTCATCCAGCAGTGGATTGACACGTTTGTAAAAATAAAACGAAGCATTATTAAACTCTTGTTAGTTTCAGTATTCAGCATCATGAGCCATGGTCGATCCACTGCTGGATGAAGGTTCTCCCCATTTCACTGCTACCTCTCACGATCATGTTCTGTAACAATCCGCACGCCACTTGCTCAAGAGGTGATGCCATTGCCCCATTGATTGTGCAGATGTTCCTGTGCGCATACCAAAAAAAACGGCCTCAAATGTTCACCAGAATGGTGTCCTCTTTGCTACTGCGAGTGAGTGAGAGTAACTTGCCGCTAACTTGATGCGTGGTTCAGAAACATGGGCAGTAACCAAAGGTATGGAACAAAATCAGAAAATTGCGCAAAGAAGCGTGGAGAGACGCACGCTTGAAATTTTATTAAGAAACAACGAGGGTCGTGTGTATTTGGAGAATGCATGCATGTTAATGGCATCATTCAAACTGTTACTAAACGTAAGTGGGCTTGAGCACGACGAGACGGGATGATGGGCAATGGTTAAGAATAATAGTGGAGTGGCAGCCAAGGAATGGAAAAGATTCCTTGCAGGATGTTTGCAGGGGAGATGAAGCGATGAGAATCGGGTTGTGTGCAACCGCTGGATGGATTCTGCCATCGCAGCGTTGTGAGATGTGGCAGTGGCTCTTGGAGGATTTCATCTAGAAGTGGATTGACCATTGCTGATGATGATGTTGATGATGCTGAGTCGAATAGATTAAGTCTTTCTGTATGTAAGGTGGTGTTTGTGATTGATAGAGGAGTTGTAAAGAATGTTCAACTTGATTTAGATCAGAACTGGGAAAATTCAAAGGCCAATGTGGATCTGATAAGAGCGAATCCCATCAAGTTAAGCTGCTACAAGATCAGACATTGGTATTTACACAAAACCCATGCCCAAGAACAACAAAAAACACATTCCTTAATTATCTTTTTCATTTTGACCAAGGTATGCTTTCATCTTGGGGTGGAGCAGTAGCACGGTGGTTATACCTGGCAACAATCCCAGTTCTGTTCCTAGCCAAGGCTCACATAGGTGGTGAACGATATCTGAACCAATACTTTGAAAGTACGGATGGTGAAGTATGGTCCAATAACCTCGATGACTGACAAGGCAGGGTCAGGCCTTACTCCAGGAGTGGTCGCTAGGTCAGTGCAGATGGTGTAGAGCCTGAGATAATTGGTGGGTCACAGGCTGGCCGAACCACACAGGTGGGACCCGACCAGCTTGACATGCGCGTTTGTGGTGACCAGTGTTTGAGCCAAAATTTGAAGGCAAAGGTACAGCCCTGAAATTGCTTGCCCATGCCCCTGCTGGCAGATGGACATTGACGCGGCAGAGGCAGTAGAGGCCTTGCATGGAAAATGTTGGACTCTTTCTTCCAAGCAGACCCCAACTTATTTGTTTTCCTCCCACAAAAGCCAAAGTCTCACGAGATAGAATTTGTCAAAACTCACTGTTAGCGGGTCCTTCCTGAGAATGTCTTGAGGCTCGGTGTGGTTTTTATCCCGGTTCAATGAACGACATGACAGGCGCGTCCGCCTCGCTTAACGAGCGAGACACCGTTTCGCAAAAAGAATTGCTCGTCAAGCTAAAACTCGTTAAAGACGATCATCCTTTTCCCATTCACTCATCCCCATGTCAAAAGCTGAGCTACGTTTCAGCCCCAAAATGTTCACTCTAGAACTTTTTTTTTTACGCGACAAACACAAATTCGAATTTTTAAATAAAGAAATCAAACATAAAAATGTAACACTTGCCACACATGAAGAGCCACAGTGCTTGCAGTTGCCTGGCATTTATGTTGTTTGAAAGGGGTTAGATGATGTTAGTGGGTTTGTGGAGCAGCAGGGGCCTTGCAAGATCACTCGCCACTGATGTTAGCCGTGGCTGGAAATCGAACCAGAGTTGCTGGGTTCATAGCCACGATACGGGGATGCGAGATGGAGCGCGACTTCCTGTCCTCAGTGGCACCAATTAATTAGCGCCCCCACCCACCCACCCACCCCTCTCCCCACCCACCCACCCACCCACCCCTCTCCCCACCCACCCACCCACCCCTCTCCCCACCCACCCCTCTCCCCACCCACCCACCCACCCACCCCTCTCCCCACCCACCCACCCCTCTCCCCCACCCACCCACCCACCCCACCCCTCTCCCACCCACCCCCACCCCCCCTCTCCCCACCCACCCACCCCTCTCCCCACCCACCCACCCCTCTCCCCCCCCACCCACCCCTCCCCCACCCACCCACCCCTCCCCCACCTACCCCTCTCCCCCCCACCCACCCACCCACCCACCCCTCTCCCCACCCCCCACCCCCCCCCACCCCTCTCCCCCCCCCCCCACCCCTCCCCCCACCCACCCACCCACCAACCCCTCTCCCCACCCCCCCACCCACCCCCAACCCCTCTCCCCACCCCCCCACCCACCCCTCCCTCCCCCCCCACCCCTCACCCCCTCCCCCCCCCACCCACCCACACCCCCCTCCCCCCCCCCCACCCCCTCCCTCCCCCCCCCCCCCCCCACCCACCCCCCTCCCTCCCCCCCCAACCACCCACCCCTCCCCTCCACCCACCCACCCCTCCCCTCCACCCACCCACCCACCCCTCCCCTTCACCCACCCACCCACCCCCCCTTCACCCACCCACCCACCCACCCCTCCCCTCCCCTCCACCCACTCACCCACCCACCCACCCCACCCACCCACCCACCCCTCTACCCCTCCACCCACCCACCCACCCTTCCACCCCCCTCCACCCCTCCACCCCTCCACCCCCCCACCCACCCACCAACCCCATCCCCCTCCCCCACCAACCCCATCCTCCCCACCCACCCCACCCTCCCCCCCACCCACCCCACCCTCCCCCCCCTCCCCCCTCCCCCCTCCCTCCCCCCACCCACATCACCCCTCCCACCTCCACCTATGGTCACCTTCTGTCGCAAGGCGTGAAAACAATAATATTTGCGTTCGCCAAAATACACGCCGGCGAATGCCACTTCACGCGATATCCCGCAGTGTTCCCGGTCAAGCGAGAGCCCGCCGCAGCGCAGTCGCCTCTCGTCCTTGTGCAAGAGACTTTATAATAACACACGAGAGGGCGGCTGCACTTGAGGCGCCGCGCGTTGCGTTGGCAGCATTTCCTTTTCGAGCGAGAGGGTTTTGTTAGAAATGTCAAATCTAATTAAATTCCCTGCTCTGTGTGCGGGGCGCTCAATTAAATTAAAAAAATTCCCACCTACGATAAGATACATGCAGCACCGTCTAAAATGAGATTTCATTCTAATCGCGAAATATGTTTTCCTGAAAATAATTCCAACAGCTCACATTTGCATTTGCTAATACTTTGCCCTTCGTCAATCCGCTTCTGGACGAAGGCCTCTCCCCAACTTCTTTCGCTCGTGATGGGGGGGGGAGGGGGTTGATTGGCCACACTTGACCCCGCTGGGTCAGCACGGGTCGGTGAAGTTTCAACAGCTCACTCGCCACTGATGTAAGCCGCGGCCCGGATTGGGAACTCGGGTCGCCGGGTTCGCTGGAACAGCGCTGCGCCGCTCTGTCCCGCTCTCCACATCGGAGGTACAGGAATAGCCCCGGTGACATTTTGCAATCTGTGTGGTGGCGGCAGTCTGGTAATATTTTCCAAAGATCCAATTTGTCCCCCCCCGCACCTCCCCCCATCCCCATTAATAACGGGCTTCGTCTGCCAGCGGATGTATGCACTCCGCGAAGAGATATCACCGCAAAGCAACTAAATTATACATGCGTCATCTGCGTTCAGCGTTGCGGCCAAAGTACATTGCGTCATTCTAAATTAATAACGATCGTTGGGGGGGGGGAGGGCGGTGGATGGGAGCATGTTGTCGCCGGGGGGATATTGGGGGGCTTGTGTGCGAGTGTGTGCATTACATCCTGACGCGTCATGTGCCCCTCCACCTACACCCACCCTCACACCGGATTCCAACAGAGGGCATCTATGGGTTTTATGGATCTATGGTGAACTCCGTTGCCGTTTATACGATGGGATTATTCAAGTACTCTTTGTTGGGCAGTGCGGTGGCGTTGTGGTAACAACAGACAAATAGACCTGGTTTTGATTTCCAACTCGGAACCTTTCTGTGTGGAGTTTGTATGTTCTCCCCCTGTATGTATGTTAAACTTCTTTCGCACTGTATGTAGCCAACCTGCGCTCATCGGAGGTGGGGGGGAAGGACAACAAACTCGAGACAAAAATCAGTTCTAAAGAAATGAGTTTTCAATCTAGATTATTTAAACGTGCTTAGCTCCAGTGGCTTCGTAATGTCGGAAGGGAGAGCGTTCCAGACGGCCGCAGAAGCGCACTTGAAAGCGTGCGATGGTTCGCCAAAAGCTGCTGTTTTGCATGGGTTATCTCCAGGTTCTGCTGTTTCCTCTCATAGCTAAAAAAAATACACACAACGTAACTGGTATTGTCCAGAATATCCCAATGCCGAAAAACGATCTTCCAATTACTCAATTGTGGCAGCAGCATCTCCCGCCTACTGCGATAACTTGGCAGGACCCTCCTGAAAAAGAGTCGTAAGACTCAGTGAGGCCTTCCTGGGTAAAACACCATTAATAGGTGCGCACAAGCAACAGTTTTCCCTAAAATGTAACTTGGCTAACATTGGTATGTTTACGTGTGCGTACGTACGGTAATGTACAAGGCCAACTTGTAGATTGTTTAAATAAATATCATTGTATTGTTGTAAAATGTTTAAATTACACAGTACAATGGCAAGGTCAATAATTATTAAACGTTGTCTAAGCATGGTGCACTGAAATGCTGCACACATTATGCAGAGGAAATGTGTATTTCATTTAATGCAGAATTATAATGCTTCATGCATATTACCACATCACCCATAATGCACCCAATCTCATAAAGTCTCAAGCTAAGCCAATCTATGTCCAGATGGGGCTTGGGATGGTTGACCGACCGTCGCAGGTGCTATAGGCTTCGGGGTTAAGTTGTGGACAGTAGAGGGCAGTGCAGCCAGATCGATTGCTGTACCGTACTTGTGTGCGCACACATTTGTGTGTCCCGCCTCTCACCAACCGGCTCTGACCAGCGGGGCGAAATTTGGTAAAATAACCCCCGCTACTCAAAAAACATACGGGGAGGCCCTCATCCCCGTTGTCGATTGGCAAAGGGCCGTCGGTTTAAATGCACGCAATGCTTCAGCGCACACGTACACACACACACATTGTACTACATTGTAATTTGTTTTGCGGAAAGTTTTTTTTTAATCAAAGTAGAAGAGAAATAGAACTCCAGTTGTCGGTTGCATACGACGCTCTTGGCCGATTTTTTAAATTGGAGGATTTTATTACTTCGGGAATGTTACGCACCTGGCCACAGCCATTTCGTTCCGTACTGCCCCCCTGCAAAACCCCCCCGAATGGTGATGCGTGGTTTAAAGCGACGCCGTGTTCTCTGCTGCAGCTGTACATCCTGAGCCAGGGCCAGTGCATCTACAAGGGCACGGTGACGGAGCTCGTCCCGTACCTGCGAGGACTTGGCCTCCACTGCCCCACCTACCACAACCCCGCCGACTTCGGTTCGTAAGCCCCACGCACGCACACACACATATACACGCACGCACACACACGCACGCACATACACACACATACACACACATACACATGCACGCACGCACACACGCACGCACGCATACACGCACACACGCACGCACACACGTACACACGTACACATACACACACATACACACGCACGCACACACGCACACACGCACGCACACACACGCACATACACACACGCACATACACACACACACATACACACACGCACGCACACACGCACGCACACACACGCATGCACACACACATACACGCACACACACGCACATACACACACACACACATACACACACGCACGCACACACACACACACATACGCACATACATACACACACGCACACACATACACACGCACGCACACGCACGCACACACGCACACACGCACACACACGCACGCACGCACACACGCACGCACGCACGCACACGCCGTCGCGCTCCATGTGACCGAGCGTGCGGGTTGATTCGACACGGGAGGTTTGCCCGCTCGGTTGTAATCCCAGGCGTGGATTTCGGGCCGTGCGTTTTGGGCTTTTTTTTTTAAATTTCTCTTCGAGATTTTGCCACGCGCTGCTGCGGGAAATCTTCGGGAGTTGAATTCAAAAAAGCTTGGACGGTGCTGACAGTAGAAGTGGTTGAGAGGAGAAAGCCACACTGGGGACACACTCGTTCGTACTTGGATGGGAGACCGGGAATGCCGTTTGTTTTCAGACTGGCCTGAGAGTTTCCCAATGAGATGGCACCGCAGCAGTGGATTCTTGAAACTCTTGAGGATTTCCTCGGTAAGAGGGAGATTCATCTTCTTGGTTCTTTCGGTAAAGTCACGTAGAAGGAAAATAATAAAAATAAAACATAATAAAATAATTCTCACGACGTTTCGGCCACAGACTCTGCCTTCTCGACAGACCTGTACTCCACCTGAAGACGGCTGCTTGCATTGTGGCCGAAACGTCGTGAGAATTATTTAATTATCTTTTTAAAATTATTTTATTATTTTCCTTCTAAGTGACTTTACCGAAAGAACCAAGAAGATGAATCCCAGCAGTCATGAAAGCTTTAAGTCGAAAAAAAGGGAGATTATTCATGCTGCGTCGCCTCACATCAACGTTACTTGACTAACAAGAGTGGTCCATATATTTCACTGCTTTAGTCCACTAAACTGACATAACTAATTGGATTTCGCAGACAAAAAAATCCATGGATGATTGTAGACTGAGTCTATTGACTCAAATGTAAATTATGGCTAAATTAACACCGCTTGAGGCTCATTAAGGCATTCTTAAATATGTGCATGGCATTGCGATTGTTACGCAAGTGTCACTAAAGCACACCATGTGCCGTGAAACTGACGTCAATGATGCTGTGACATCGATCATCGCCATGGAGAAATGTGCCATGGCCTTTGCTGGCTTGCAATGCACCACTCATGTATTTGGCATTGTTTGATGGTGCTTCTTGTAAAGGGAGCGTGAGGAAGGAGGGATCGTTGCGGCTTGGAACATGTGTGAAGTAGAATGGATGGTATATGTGCCAGACTTCACTAACGTTCTACAGGTCGTCGACTAGTCTCCGACTATAGCTCAAGTGAAAAACAGCTGACTAAGGTTAACACTCATTTCTAATTTATTTTTGGGTTTAGGCCGTATGATGACGTGGCCAATTTTGTGCTGCGTCACCCTACAGTTGCACTGTATGAGCATTTAACGCGGCCAATTATTATTATCGATTCAGCTCGCCGGTAAATTGAGTAACAATTTGCGGTAACTAAATTCAGCGCTGTAGATGCAGTGGTTCGCTCGAGACTGCGTTGAGCATCCTCAGGTCATTGATACTGCCGCAGTGGCGAGATGTTAACTACCTCGCCTGGTATATAGGAGGTCGTGGGTTCGATCCCGACCCCGACGCCTGTCTATTTGGAGTTTGTGTGTTCTCCCCGTGATTGCGTGGATTTTTCTCCAAGTCCTCCGGTTTTTCCCTCCACATTTAGGAACGTGCATTTAGAGTGTTTGCTGCTATACATTTCCACACGATGAGCCACTCTGTTGAGCTATCATTCATTGCTAGGTCACTTGCGAAAAAAATCTGTATAGCTCGGTGGGCCTTAACTGATAAACTAAGCAATAGTTTAGATTATAGTTTTCATTTTAATCGTAACGCCGGCCACTGACGCCGCCCGTTTGCCCGCGACCGCCCACGTGTGCAGTGATCGAGGTCGCCTCGGGGGAGTACGGCGACCTCAACCCCATCCTCGTGTCGGCCGTGACTGAGGGCCGCTGCAGCATGGAGCCCAAGAAGTCCCTGGACGGGGACGGGGCCCTGGAGGTCGTGCCATCGGACGCGCACAGGAACGGCGCGCTCACCGTGAGTGGCCGCGCACGTCAGGGCCCTCGCCGGCCAGCTCAGCGGAGCTGGGAAGGAGTGGAGGGGGTTGGGGGGGGGGATGGAGCTACCCTGTGTCGTGGCCAGTGTTAAAAGTCCTTTGGCAAGGCACTCTTCCCCCCTCCAACCCAGCTTAAATATACGCTGCCAAGCTTGGTGGTGTTCATTCAGATGCTGTCTTTCCGACAGACCTGTTCTTCAGCTGAGGACGGCTGCTTGCGTTGTGGCCGAAACGTCGTGAGAATTGTATTTTATTATGTTTTATTTTTATTACTTTATTATTTCCCTTCTACGTGACTTTACAGAAAGAACCAAGAAGAGTGTTAATTCAGTCGGACGTTTTGTATCCTCCGCAACGAGCATTCGGGGCGTGGCTCAGGTCACTTCGTGGCATTGGAACAGCAGTCCAATTCCCCAGAAATAGGAATTTGGAATTTCCACCACTTGCTTCAAGCAACCCGAATGCTCACCGCTTGCCCAGGTTACCGTGCTGGCTGGTGTTGTCGGGGGGCGGGGGAGGAGACATTTGGACTTTTTGGAATCGCTATTGGCAGTCCTGATCCAGAGGTAATACAATTACACAGTAATATGGCAGGGAGCAGTTGATTATCAGGGCAACCGTTGCCGGACCTTCCACAAAGTCACTGCTCACCACGGTGGTGCTTCATTTACTGACCCCACACAGAGAGCTGATGGGCCGAGTGGACCCACCGTTAAGTGTGACATTGATTTCTCCGAGGTACGCGCGCCCACCCCAGCGCAATTTGGAAAGCACCTTTATTGTGGGTTTCTTCAGCACGTGTGCGGAGGATGGCGCGCGTGCGTCGCTTGCCGGCATTTTGCTTGCGTGAGACCTGCGTTTGCGCTGTGATTTCCGGCGCGGAATTTTTTTTGCACACTAGCACCGCCGTGCCGCAAAGGTAAACGGAAACGCGGAGGAGTGTGAGTATGCACGAAGTCTTAACGCGGTGAGAGACGCGGGTAATAATGGATGCACTCTGTTGCCAAGTGTAAACCCTTTAACATTTGCTCTCCGCCGTAGCTCTTGTAACGGGTCGTTGGGCAAACATTTCACGTGGTTATAATGCGAGGTATATGCAAAGGGCACTGCGATTTTCTTCGCTGTTGGTATATTTACGCCGTCAATTGTCAGAGCTGACGAAAGACTCCCCCCCCCCCCCCCCCCGTTGCTCAATCAATACAAGTGTGCACTCATTGAGCACTGCGCCTGTAAATGAATGAGTGGCAATGATTCACTCGGCCTAAAGACCCGTTAAACCCCCGCTGGCCCTGCCTAACAGCTCCCTCTGCTGAGTGCTGGGAGACAGGGACCTCGGTTATCTCTGCCTAAGGAAACCAATGCGAAGTTCAACGGGACGTTTATTTGTTTGTTTGTATCCTGCATTGAACCAGGAGATGGAATATATGTGCATTGAGACACTTGAGGCAATGCCACGTTTGCTAGGGGAAAGCTGAGTTTCGTGAATATTAATTTACCTTGTAAATAAAACTATTTTTTATTTTTACCAGGTAAGGCCAACCCGAGCTTAATATCTCTTTTTCAGAAGCGACCTGGTCCAAAAACAATAGCTCAACAGAGTAGATTATCACGAGAAATTTCTCGCAGCCAATTACTTTCAATCAATAAAATTATCCACGAGATTTTTTTGGGATTGAGATTCATCACAACCTTCACTGCAAAACTATAAATAATGGAACATTATTAATAGTTTAATAATTGAACATTTAAGTGTTTCAATTACAGGGCAAAACGCATCGGTTTTGATTTTGTTAAAACTCCATAGAATGGCCCGTGTATAAGTGCAGCTTGTGATTGGTCGGTGTGTAGGTGGTGTGCGGTGTGTGCACTGGCGCTGTGTGAGTGGTCGGTGTGTAGGTGGTGTGCGGTGTGTGCACTGGCGCTGTGTGAGTGGTCGGTGTGTAGGTGTTGTGCGGTGTGTGCACTGGCGCTGTGTGAGTGGTCGGTGTGTAGGAGCTGTGCGGTGTGTGCACTGGCGCTGTGTGAGTGGTCGGTGTGTAGGAGCTGTGCGGTGTGTGCACTGGCGCTGTGTGAGTGGTCGGTGTGTAGGTGTTGTGCGGTGTGTGCACTGGCGCTGTGTGAGTGGTCGGTGTGTAGGTGGTGTGCGGTGTGTGCACTGGCGCTGTGTGAGTGGTCGGTGTGTAGGTGTTGTGCGGTGTGTGCACTGGCGCTGTGTGAGTGGTCGGTGTGTAGGTGGTGTGCGGTGTGTGCACTGGCGCTGTGTGAGTGGTCGGTGTGTAGGGGCTGTGCGGTGTGTGCACTGGCGCTGTGTGAGTGGTCGGTGTGTAGGTGGTGTGCGGTGTGTGCACTGGCGCTGTGTGAGTGGTCGGTGTGTAGGTGGTGTGCGGTGTGTGCACTGGCGCTGTGTGAGTGGTCGGTGTGTAGGGGCTGTGCGGTGTGTGCACTGGCGCTGTGTGAGTGGTCGGTGTGTAGGTGGTGTGCGGTGTGTGCACTGGCGCTGTGTGAGTGGTCGGTGTGTAGGTGGTGTGCGGTGTGTGCACTGGCGCTGTGTGAGTGGTCGGTGTGTAGGGGCTGTGCGGTGTGTGCACTGGCGCTGTGTGAGTGGTCGGTGTGTAGGTGGTGTGCGGTATGTGCACTGGCGCTGTGTAAGTGGTCAGTGTGTAGGGGCTGTGCGGTGTGTGCACTGGCGCTGTGTGAGTGGCCGGTGTGTAGGTGGTGTGCGGTGTGTGCACTGGCGCTGTGTGAGTGGTCGGTGTGTAGGGGCTGTGCGGTGTGTGCACTGGCGCTGTGTGAGTGGTCAGTGTGTAGGGGCTGTGCGGTGTGTGCACTGGCGCTGTGTGAGTGGTCGGTGTGTAGGGGCTGTGCGGTGTGTGCACTGGCGCTGTGTGAGTGGTCGGTGTGTAGGTGCTGCGCGGTGTGTGCACTGGCGCTGTGTGAGTGGTCGGTGTGTAGGAGCTGTGCGGTGTGTGCACTGGCGCTGTGTGAGTGGTCGGTGTGTAGGAGCTGTGCGGTGTGTGCACTGGCGCTGTGTGAGTGGTCGGTGTGTAGGGGCTGTGCGGTGTGTGCACTGGCGCTGTGTGAGTGGTCGGTGTGTAGGGGCTGTGCGGTGTGTGCACTGGCGCTGTGTGAGTGGTCGGTGTGTGGGTGGTGTGCGGTGTGTGCACTGGCGCTGTGTAAGTGGTCGGTGTGTAGGTGTTGTGCGGTGTGTGCACTGGCGCTGTGTGAGTGGTCGGTGTGTAGGAGCTGTGCGGTGTGTGCACTGGCGCTGTGTGAGTGGTCGGTGTGTAGGTGGTGTGCGGTGTGTGCACTGGCGCTGTGTGAGTGGTCGGTGTGTAGGTGTTGTGCGGTGTGTGCACTGGCGCTGTGTAAGTGGTCGGTGTGTAGGTGCTGTGCGGTGTGTGCACTGGCGCTGTGTGAGTGGTCGGTGTGTAGGGGCTGTGCGGTGTGTGCACTGGCGCTGTGTAAGTGGTCGGTGTGTAGGGGCTGTGCGGTGTGTGCACTGGCGCTGTGTGAGTGGTCGGTGTGTAGGGGCTGTGCGGTGTGTGCACTGGCGCTGTGTAAGTGGTCGGTGTGTAGGGGCTGTGCGGTGTGTGCACTGGCGCTGTGTGAGTGGTCGGTGTGTAGGGGCTGTGCGGTGTGTGCACTGGCGCTGTGTGAGTGGTCGGTGTGTAGGGGCTGTGCGGTGTGTGCACTGGCGCTGTGTGAGTGGTCGGTGTGTAGGTGTTGTGCGGTGTGTGCACTGGCGTTGTGTGAGTGGTCGGTGTGTAGGGGCTGTGCGGTGTGTGCACTGGCGCTGTGTAAGTGGTCGGTGTGTAGGGGCTGTGCGGTGTGTGCACTGGCGCTGTGTGAGTGGTCGGTGTGTAGGTGCTGTGCGGTGTGTGCACTGGCGCTGTGTGAGTGGTCGGTGTGTAGGTGTTGTGCGGTGTGTGCACTGGCGCTGTGTGAGTGGTCGGTGTGTGGGTGTTGTGCGGTGTGTGCACTGGCGCTGTGTGAGTGGTCGGTGTGTGGGTGTTGTGCGGTGTGTGCACTGGCGCTGTGTGAGTGGTCGGTGTGTAGGTGCTGTGCGGTGTGTAGGTGCTGTGAGCTGTGTAAGAGCTGTGTTCCCCTGTGTGTCGTCCAGGAGCGAAGTGCTGTCAGTGAAAACTGCCACAGCTTCTCAACGGGTGGATTCACGCAATTCTCAATCCTATTCAAGCGCAGCATCCTCTCCATCATGAGGGACATGGTGAGTCACAGAGACCAATACCTTATATTTTCACCTCCGATTATCGCAGTTGACTACGTACAATGCAAAAGAAGGTTAAACTGTACATTAATACTACATTTTCATGTTGTTGCCTTGTATAACATTGTGAATACAATTCAATATTATTGTTTACCCAGGAAAGCCTCGCCAATTATTCAGACCCTTTTTCAGGATGGCCCTGTTAAGTTTGCTCCTCGGGGGAAATATTGTAGTGTGAAATTAATATTTTCAATTTCAAAAACTGAGTTATCGTTATCAAGTGTTAATTAAACGTGTTTGGTACTGCGTGTAAATGTAATGTAACAATTAATGATGTAATTACAATGATGAATTCGTTTGCATATGATGGACGTGCCCTCTAACCGCCAAGGCTGTCCCACCGCTCCCCTCCACGAGTCCGGCTTGGAGAGGCCTGGCCGTGAGGCTGCATGGCGGTCGTCCCCTCCGTGTGAACGTCGCCACGAGGGAGACGCAGGCGTGGCTGCTGGCCACCCATCCCCTCGTGTGGCGTGACGGCCTTCATAGCCGCTACTCGCTGGCGGCACTTGCCCCCAGCAGTCTATGAGGCTATCGGGGGTGGGATCTTTGTCTTTGTCGTCACCTTTGCGATCGTGCGCAAGCCCCGAGCCCGTTTGTCGTCGTCGTTTCAGGTGCTCACCCACATGCGCCTGGGCTCCCACATCGCCATCGGCCTCCTCATTGGCCTGCTGTACCTGCACATCGGCAACGAGGCCACCAAGGTCTTCAACAACTCCGGCTTCCTCTTCTTCTCCATGCTCTTCCTCATGTTCGCCGCCCTCATGCCCACCGTGCTCACCTGTGAGTTCTCCTCTGGCTGGCGACTCGGTGTCGAGATGTTAACCCCCTCGCCTGGTATGCAGGAAGTCGTGGGTTGGATCCCGACCCCTGACGCCTGTTGTACATTTGGAGTTTTGCGTGTCTCTCTCTTTCTCTCATTATCATCACGGTGGCTAGGAGATGTTAACCCCCTCGCCTGGTATGCAGGAAGTCGTGGGTTCGATCCCGACCCCTGACGCCTGTTGTACATTTGGAGTTTTGCGTGTCTCTTTTCCCCGTGGTCATGTGGATTTTTCTCCGGGTCCTCCGGTTTTACCCTCCACATTTAGAATGAACATCACGCGTTTAACAGTATTTGGCCGCTATAAATGTTCACGTTGTGAGCAACTTCGTTACGCTATCGTTTGTGACAGCAAGGTCGCTTCTGAAAAATAGCTGTACAGCTCTGTGTGCCTTACCTGGTAAAATTAAAAAAAATAGTTATGTTAACTACCTTGCCTGGGAAACTAAAAGCCGTGGGTTCGATCCCAACCCTGACGCCTGTATATTTGGCGTTTGCATTTTCTCCCCATGATTGCGTGGATTTTTCTCCAGGTCTTCTGGTTTAGAGTATTTGGCTGCTAGAGATTTCCACACGATGAGCTCGCATTAGTGATAGTCAGGTCGCTTCTGGAAAAAAATAACTACATAGCTCAAGTGGGCCTTACATGGTAAAAAAAAAGTTTAGTTAGAATTTTGTTGTATTTTATATATAACGTTAGTCATTGCGGGTGTGTATTTTGTGTGCCCACAGTCCCTGAGGAGATGGGAGTGTTCATGAGGGAGCACCTCAACTACTGGTACAGCCTCAAGGCCTACTACCTTGCCAAGACGATGGCCGACATTCCCTTCCAGGTAGCCGCTCGCCGCTGGGATGACCGGCGGCTTTCCCGCTCAGAGGCCAAGGCAACGCCCTGCGATGCCTTAACCGTAGTCATCGTCAGTTATCGTCACAATTACCATCATGCTCGTCAGCATCATCATGGTCAGCAGTTTCACTCTTGTTGGCATCATAATTGTTCTTCTTGGTTCTTTCGGTAAAGTCACGTAGAATGGAAATAATAAAATAATACAAATAAAACATAATAAAATAATTCTCACGACGTTTCGGCCACAACGCAAGCAGCCGTCCTCAGGTGGAGAAGCGTTTTGTCTCTGTCTATTTCCATTCCACGTGACTTTACCGAAAGAACCAAGAAGATGAATCCCTGCAGTCACGAAAGCTTTAAATCGAAAAAATCAACATTGTTATTATCATCGTAAATGTTTGTTTACGAAGGACTCGGCAACGCCGTGTTGGTCCAAGTGGTTGTGTGACCATACTCTTTTTTTTTTCGGTAAAGTCACGTGGGTAAAAAATAAAATAAATGAAAAGAACTAAATTATATCACCTCCGTGACTTTACCGAAAAAAGCAAAGAGTATGAATCCTTGCAGTCACGAAAGCTTCAAATCTAGAATTAATGTGTGACCATACTTCACCATGCTGGTCAGAGCACTTTGGTGAGGGAGGCGGGGATGGGAGCGGGATCCAGGACCGATTTGAATATCGCTCGCCAATTGACGTTAACCGTGACCAGGGATCAAACTCAAGTCGTGTTGTTTAGTTCACAGCGCTATGAACTACTCCACACCGGTCTTCATGACCATCATCGTAAAGGTCACAATACCGCTTCTCTTTTTTCCTCCTCCTCCTTGGGAAATCCCTCCCAATCGTTGCTTTTCTCAATTCGGGAAGCGTATAAACTCTTACTCATCACACCGTCGGTTTGTTTTATTGCCGATCGCTCAGCGTTTTGGGCACCTCCGATGAACGCGGTTGGCTACGTACGGCGGGGTGGGGGGGGCGGCCGAAAGAAGTTCACCGTGCCTTGTTACCTGTGGCTTAGCAAACGTGATAAACAAAAAAAGCGTCACTTCATAATTGTCGTGAACGATAGAACCGCCGCCGCCGCCGTGGTCGTCGTCGTGGGTGATTCACGCCCGCGATGGTTTGGGATGAACGTCGCCCCGCGCGCAGGTGGCCTTCCCCATGGCGTATTGCGCCATCGTCTACTGGATGACGTCGCAGCCGCCCTGAGCTGCTGCGCTTCGTCCTCTTCACGGCCATCTCCGTCATGACGTCGCTGGTGGCGCAGTCGCTGGGCCTTCTCATCGGCGCCGCCTCCACCTCCCTACAGGTTCGCGCTGCCCCGCGCAGTCCCCACCGCTGTATTGGGGGGGGGGGGGGCGGAGAGGGAGGGCTTCCTTCGAGCCATTGGCTTAACAAATTGCTCGACGGTATTACCTGGTTCTAGATTTGAAGCTTTCGTGACTGCAAGGATTCATACTCTTAGGTTTTTTCGGTAAAGTCACGTAGGTATAAATACATAAATAATAAATAATACATCGCAACGTTTCGGAGGCAACACAAGCTTCCTTCATCAGGTGTAAAAAGGCACAGCAAAATAACTGTAGTGACTGTAACTCACTGGCATGGCAGATGCTGTCACTTTTTTTTGTCAATTTACTTTGAGATTGACTATTGTGTATAGTAGCTCTGCTTTTTTTTTATTAGGTAAAGGTCGTTAAAGAAGGGTATCGTAGTGTGTTTGATGGAGAATGTCGGTTTTGGAAAGAAAAATGTCTGTATGTATGTATGAACTTCTTTCGCACCGTACTTAGCCAACCGTGCTAATCGGAGGTGCGGGGGAACTACTTGAAACACGTGACCACCCCATGTACAACACGCTCGCTTTAGGCCAGGGGGCTACATGGTGGGCAGCAGAGGGTAGTACGGAAAAATACATTGTCGCATTGTATTTGTACGTTCCCAAATCTGTGCCAGCCACCTTCACCAACCCGCGCTGACCATCGTGCTGAAAGTGTGGTAAACTAATCTCCACTCACGCGCACGGTGTAAGGAGGTGCTCGCCCAGCAGTGGATTATCACCGACTGACTTGTTATGATTATTGTTGTGAGGGGTGACGTCACTGTGGTGAGACGTCACGCACGCACGCGCGTGCTAGTGATTACGTTACGACGCGCCGTGTGTGCTAATGATTACGTTACGACGCGCCGTGCGTGCTAGTGATTACGTTACGACGCGCCGTGTGTGCTAGTGATTACGTTACGACGCGCCGTGTGTGCTAGTGATTACGTTACGACGCGCCGTGTGTGCTAATGATTACGTTACGACGCGCCGTGCGTGCTAGTGATTACGTTACGACGCGCCGTGTGTGCTAGTGATTACGTTACGACGCGCCGTGTGTGCTAGTGATTACGTTACGACGCGCCGTGTGTGCTAGTGATTACGTTACGATGCGCCGTGCGTGCAAGTGATTACGTTACGCTGTGCCGTGCATGCTAGTGATTACGTTACGACGTGCCGTGCGTGGATGAACCCAGGTGGCGACGTACGCCGGTCCGGTCACCGCCATCCCCGTGCTGCTCTTCTCCGGCTTCTTTGTCAGCTTCGACACCATCCCCACCTACCTGCAGTGGATCTCCTACATCTCCTACGTCAGGTAGGGGGGCTGCTGGCCATCACGTGACGACGCGTGGCGGGCGTCCTGCTGTAAGGCCCCTGGCAACAGGATGACTCCTTCGCATTTCTGGCAAATCGCCTGATGAAGCTGGTGGAAATCGCCAGTGAAAATCGTCGTTAACTCAAATTGTAAATGTTGTGGGTTTTACTCTCCAATAAAATGAATTAGTAACCAATTTGTACGTTTTGTTAACGTGACAAACCTTACTTATTGGCTGTGTCGGGTGGTGGTGGGTTAACGACACATTTATATTTACGAGTTCTAACCCATAAAACGTTTATTATGAATAATAGTTATCGCAAAAGCCTACGTGTTAAACAAGTGTCTTACTTGTCCAGTTATAACCCCCTTTACGTTGTCCGCAAACGTTTGGCAGCAGCAGCAGCAAACAGTCCTCCTCTGCTGGTGATGATCATCACATCACATCTGCTGCTGCTTTTGTTTTTGGGTCATTCCCCTCTCTCTTCTAGGACCACCACCACCAGGCCACACCAGTCCATCTTTTTCTTGTGTCATCCTCTGCTTCTGTTGCCCTCTACGGGCATTGCCAATGCTCCTGCTGGATTCCTTGTTTTGCGGCATTCTTTTGACGAAACCGTAGCAGTCTGTTCCTGAATCTTTCCCGTCGTCGTTCGTTCCATTTTGAAGTTCGCTCTCGCGCGTCCTGTTATTCTGTTCAACCTTCTTCCTGCCCAGTATTACTCGTAGGCTGCGGCTCCTCTACCTTCGCGCAGAGACGGACCCACAACCCTTGCCAGCTCTCTGAACTTTTATTAATTTCCGTCTGCGCCGACAGGTACGGCTTCGAAGGCGTCCTCATTTCCATCTACGGGCTGGATCGCGCCGAGCTGAACTGCAACTCCACGGCCGCCCTGTGCCCATTCCAGCAACCGACGGCCGTGCTGGAGCAGCTCGCGGTGCAGGACGGCAAGCTGTACCTCGACTTCATCATCCTCGCCGTGTTCTTCCTGTGCCTGCGCCTGCTGGCCTACGTCGTGCTGCGGATCCGCGTCAAGGCCGAGAGATAAAAGCTCCCCCCCCCTCCCGTGCGGGTTTCGCCGGTAACGCGTTCATGGCCCCCCCCCCCCCCCCCCCCGTGGTGGGGAGCAGCCAAGCGGGGGCGGCGGCGAAGGAAGCGTGGTGGGCGGGCACCCGGCGGAGGAAAGCAACAATGATGAACGGAACAATAACTCGCGAAACGAGCAAACAAACAAATCGAAAATCACTCTTCACCCACCGATAAATCACGCCACGTCGCCCGCCAAAACAGCTCGCACGCGTGCCGTCGGGGGGGGGGCAGGGGGGGGGGAGAAGGGGGACGCGTCGCGTCTGCGCTACCGCGGTGGTCGATCACGCGAGCCGCGGGAGTTTTGGCGATCGTGAGAGAGGCCGTGCCGCTCTCTCGGGGTGGATGTTGAAGTCAGGAACTGGACCCGGGCTTTGCTGATGCTTTTGTTTCGTAACCGCCGTGGCAGAGGGTGCTGCTGCTATGCTTGGGGTACGGAGGCATTATCGGGCGCCACACCTGGATGTTAATTGCGAGTATTTCTCGCAAAGATGAGCTTCCCGTTGGCCAGCCCGCGTTGCTTTAGTAAACTTGGCAGGCCATCAGACAGCTCGATATTTGTCAATTAAAGGAAAGCTGGCTTTTTGAGCAGCCTGCCAACGGAGCTCATGCTTTGGTATTCAGCAGCAGTGCGGTCGGCTGGATGTGCCAAAAGCGGTGGATGGATTCTTTTCAGCCGTTCGTTTTTGGTACGTCGGGCATTGGAGAGAGTCTTGAGCCATTGCAAGCAAATCTTCGCTGACTGCACCAAAAAAATAACAACGGTTGAGTGTGGAACTATTTTGACATCTGCCCAACAATGTGTAAAATGCACTCGTTGACTGGATGTTAGAAAATGACCACAGGCAGAGATTGAGAACCACCCTCAATGCGAAGAATCCATTGCCCCCAGCAGCCGGGCTGAGACCGGTGGAATAGCGAGACATTTTACAGGATCGTGTTACAGTTACGGCAGAGTATTGAGATGGCAGTACGAATTAAAAGTGTTGCTTCCCTGTGCTGTGCAGTTCTGCTGCTTCTTTGCAAGTGGTTGCAAAAATTTTACGATCCCGAAGGCGAGCAATACCCGCTAACCCGTCGGCTTGTATCTTTGTAGTCAGCGCAAATGTCATTGTAGCTTATTTATTTTTAGGACATGCTGGGCCGAAGTTTATTTATTTATTTTTATTTCGGAATGATTGTACGTGGCAATCATAAGCCGCGATGTCCAAGTTCGAAAATCAAGTCGTTGGCTTCATGGGGACGGTGAATTTAATGGCACGCGGCCGCCCAGAATGAGTCCAGCGGGCACGAGTTTACCGAGTGAGCGACCGGTTTGTTTCGGTGCTCCCGCAGTCACGCGGCGGATAGTCGTTCACCTTTCACGTGTGGAGCAGGTGTCCCCCCGCGTCCCACGATTTCCACTTGCGTGGGAGGGGGGAGAGATAGTTGTCTTCATTTAAATACTGGATTGGGTCACACGGCACACATTCCTGGGTATCATTCCACTGTTGTCCGATGCTCTTCGACCTTTGACGGGGAGCGGCAGTGATGGTCCAATAAGGCTTTCTTGATTTCAAGGGGGGTGTGGGGGGTTGGGTGTCCAGTGAGGACGTCGGCATGTATCAAGAGGGTCTGGGGCACCGCTGCAGCGGTTCTATTCCCAAAGCTTTAATTTCTCCACGTGTTCACGTTGAGGGATTCTTCCGCATTTTTATTTTAAATTAAACGTGCAAGCCTTAAACAGATTGCTCGCTCATCGACTCCGGTTGTGGCAGAAGGTATATCTTGTCATCTGGTCGAAATTGCTGGATGGCTATATTGGCATTGAGCCATCAACAACAAAAAAAAATAAACTAGGATTTCGCAGTCTACGTCAGACTCGAAGGGGACCACTTTAGACGCCGCTCGCCACTGATGTTAGCCGAGGCTGAAAATTGACTTGGGTCTTGGCACTAAATGGCTGAATATAAAACGGACACATTTTACGCTTGTGTTGTCAGCGGATGTTCACCATTAAGTGGGTGCCTACGACAACAGTTTTGAGTCTTAATGTTTAACAAAACGCACGGGTTCCTCGTGTGTACAGCGTACATTTTTATGCACAAGGGACATTTAAATAGATATTGACGATGCAATGCAAAGTTGCAGGGAGATAATCGTAGGCCTATTTGAAGCCTATTTTTTTAATCCATAGCCTAGGATAAGTGCATGGATGTTCTGAGTAGCCGTTTAAAAACTAAAGCTAACAACGATGTGAGTTTGTTTGTACTGCTAAGTCTCGTTCTCTAAATATCTCGACCACCCCTCGCACACACACAGACAAGTAGTTGTGCACGTGTGAAAGCAAGTCCTGACTTTTTCCTTAGTTAAATTAAGCGGATTCGAGTAGGCGATCAACAGCTGTTGTGGTCGTTTTTTTTACGTCTCTGTGACCTGTGGATGTTTGTATCTCTTTTCAGGCGATACAATGCTTTTATTTGAGTCCTAAGTTGGTTTTAATTATGTTATTAATCATACCAATAAATAATGGTACTTTGTTTTGCTTGTTTTTGGTTACCTTTGGCATTGTCTCCCGTTCACCTGTTAGACGGTTTTTACCACCTTTATTATGGAGCTTGTAGATGCAGGCACAGGAGTTTACATGTGGACTGGCCAAAGTCGAGGCATTTTCTCCGTATAATGAAAGCTCTAACAATATATCTTTGCCGTACCGTCGCTCACAGACAGGAATTGAAATCAGATTCCCCAAGTGCGTTATCCTTTCATGGCGTTAGATAATTTATCAGCGGACGACTGTTAGAGGCGCGGACAAGGGCCGCATTGGTGTGAAGTCTAGACAAACATTCGCCTATCCCCACATTTCATCGACCTTATCCCAAACGCCTTACTTTCCAGTCCACTTCCTTTTGTAATTAAACGTGACATTTTATTTTAGTTTCTATTAATTGGTTTTCGAGCAGTCACCGTTATAGCACGCTGTCGCCGTACGCTGGTTTACCATCACCTGCTCAGTCTGCGATGTAAAGCCCGAATGATACATTTGTTGGTATCTATATATAAATAATATACATATCCTCCGTGTTGCTTTCAATATTTTAAGATGCGTCCACACCTGAGCGATCAGTCGTGCAACCAAATCTCTCCAAAAAAATATTGCAGCCGAATCGTCTGTAACTGCTTTGTCCACATCGCAGTAGTTTCTGCAACAAGGGTGTGTCTGGGTTGTGGATAGATTATCTGGCCATGCCCACTACAGCATGACCCCTTGCCCTTATCCTGGTTAACAAAGGAAACGTTGCCCCTATAGCCTGAAAAAGTGGTGTTAGTGAGCACCTAATGAACTAATGAAGGCCGCCACGGCACACGAGGGGGTGGGCGACCAGCACCAGACCTGGCAGCCGCCTTTGTCTCCCCAGAGGCGATGTTTACACACCGCACCTAGGTACTCATTTGAGGCTGAGTCGATCTAGGGGAGGCCCCGGACCGGTTCAAAAAATCGTCGCTGGTGTTGGCCTTGAGCGGGAATCGAACTCGGGTGGCTGGGTTCGTAGTGCAGTGCGCTAACCGCTACATTACCACCCCATCCCGCCAGCCACATCACAATTCTAATGACCTACCATAGTTCTCGCATGTGCGCAACCGATGCACATTGGCGGTCAACCGATGCACATTGGCACACAAGCAAATCATTTTCATGCAACTGACCCGACCTACTTGGTGATGCTGCAATGGAAGTGGTGCACACAGCAACAAACTCGACATATCCGTCATTGGCACTGCCTTGAAAAGGATATTTTTTTTTGCACCATAGATTAATAGGTGCCGTGAGCAATGGTCCTTCGTAACGCACAGAGATACGCAGGAGAGATAGTAAAGAAGAGTCAGAGGCTACACTTTTCACCACCGTAGGGCCTGATAAGAATTTCATTTTTTAAATGTTTCCTGATGAACATTTTTTAAACTGGCATGTGGTTACCTCTAAGTAGCTACTGAGTACCAGACAAACCTCTCGGTTATCAAAAATGTGTTACTAAATAAACGAATTTGAATTAAATGTATGGGTTGCAGTGTGTGATCTTGTGCAATTATTTATCACAAATGATCATTCGCATTGTCTCCGTGGTGACTCGTACACTTGGTGGCACAGCTGATCACTCAGGTGTGGGTACACGTTGCGGTGGTGTGCTACCTTGTGAGCCATGGTCAGGGGTAGGCAATCTGCGGTTCCGGAGCCGCGTGCGGCTCTGTAAGTGACTGCTTCGTGACTTTACTTATTAAAGACCCCACCGTGTCTCGTATTCACGTGCGTTGCTGCTCTTGATATTGATTTGAGTTTTTTTCTCCACCCAATTTGAAAACGGTGGGCTCTTGTTGTTGTTTTGCCTGCCGACCCCTGGCAGTGAGGTTTTGTTCATTGTTTCATCGAGAAAAAAGAAACCTTCCCCCGCCTGTAGTAGATTTAACACGGTACAGCTGGTAGTGCTGGTGGTGGTGATGATGTTATACCAAATAACAAATGTGCCGGAGGCTTGAAGACTTCAGTGCTGTGACCCAGTGCTAAGAATTGAAGTCGGAATTCGGTTTGACAACTTGGACACGAGTGGTCTTGTGCGGCAGACTGGAAACACAAGGAAACATTTGCAGTTATCAAATTGGAAAAAAATATATATTTACAATATATGCATTGTTCCTGCGCGTTGGTGTTTGAATAATATGAGTGTTCACTTGTCTGTGCTCACAGTTGATGTCCTACACGGTAACCTTTGTGGAATCACTGTGGTTATGATGTATTTAACACAGCAATGCTTCCGTGTGATAGCCATGTAGAGTGTGTGAGTTGTTGCTGTTGGAGGAAAACGCAATGCAGTATTTTGGCCAGGCTATAGTGGGGTACTTGCTTATAGCTAGCAATGTGAAAATATTCTGAATAATAATAATGACGATTGCACATATGCGCGATGCTGGTTCTTTGTTGGTGATGAGTCTTTTTAGTTTGTTTGGATGT